GATCGACAAACGATGGTTCGCGTTCGACTGTGTCCGTTCAAGTTCAGTCATTAATGTTTCATTTGTTTCTGGTATTTCTTTAGCTATCGTTTTACCATTCAGTACAGTTTCTTAATACATTGATAGCATTCAGTTTCGATTGAGGTTTCTTCAGAGCTATATCGAATGTTCGTGTATCTGCACAGTGTTGTCAGTTGTTTGTTTTATACGTTAATCTACCTTGTATTTTCTTCATATTTTCGTGAGAATTTAAAATAGATGAATTACCCACCATATTACCGATCACTACGGTCACATCCTCATGTAATCATTCAACCGATTCAGCAGCATTATTAATAACATTTATGAAGTATTAAAGCTGTATTGACGTACAACGCAACAGTAATCATTATACTATAATGAAGCATACCAGAGATCACTCAAACACGTTGTAATTGTAATAAAATTAAGTGTTCAGTCCACTTCGACGTTTACTGCAAAGGGGGTTAATTACTCGAACGGTCGGGTTGGCTGGCCGTATTCAAGTTATTCGACCTGTTTTGCTCCGAATACCCGTGAACTCGACGCGACAATTTACAAAACCAAGTTCTTCCTTCAACTATAAGTACTTAACTACCACAGTGTAGCTCGAATATTTCGAATACATACTCGAATATCTCTCTCGTTACGTGATACCGACTCTTCAATTCGACGCGATGAAGAGTACGAGATTATTTCACGGCTTCTTATCGCTCGTTGTACACCGCGATGTTAGCGTTATGGTAATACAATTAAACGAGGGAAAAGATTTCGATAAAATCTACTTGTACCCAGGGATTTGAATGGCGCGCAGCGACATCGGGATTGGTTCGCGTTAATTAAAAATTTCGCTGAACTTCGTGTTCGTAAAATAGAGAAAGAAAAAAATAACACGCAAGTAAAGGGAGGGGGGAAGGGTAAGGTAGCTTCGTGTAATTGGTAGGTCGAAGACTATTCATTAATTTCTTTTTCCCCCCCTTGGGTACGATATTATGAAATTCGTATCTCTGCGCAACCTATACTTTCGTATAAAAATATTTGTACGTTCTATATGGAAGACGATCCGCAATTAGTAGTGTGATGGAAATAAATCAAAACTGAGGAATCAAGTTTTTTCGTAAAACATCTCGGTCTGGAAATAATTAATCTCGAATGATTCTCCAGATTTGCCTGTAGACTGACTAACGATGTGTTAATTGCATTTATAATTGTTGATGGCTGTAATAATATGAAAATCAGGTTTTAATGCCTCACCAGGGTAAAGTAAAGTTGATAATTAGACTGTAAATATTTATGGAAATGAACAATTTGAAATAAAAAGAAAATTAATTTATTGTATTGTTTTTTAGTGTTAAAAATAAGATAAAAAGTATTATTAATATTGAGTACTTGTTTCGATCGTTCTCACTGATATGAATTCAAGATAATTGCATGAAATCCTCATTCATTAATAAATCAGGATAACCAGAAGACAGAAACAGGGGCTGCCTTTACGTATTTAAATATTTCAAATATTGTTAAATTATTAATAAACATTATATACTTTTTAACAGTATTGCTGCATAAATTATGCAGTATTTTCATACACTGTTATTTAATTACGAATGACTCGAATAACTGCATATTCATGTACAGTAAAATTCCAAACACACAAAATCAATCACTGATAACACTTAATCAACCAACGTCGAAAATTACGTGGTGCGTACAATTAAATATTCATAGAGTTAATCAATTTGTTATCCAGCTCCAAAAAGTTAATATCAAATAATTTGTGAAACACCAGCATAGCAACGAAATTATGATCGTCCCTTCGTAAATTACAATTGACAGTTTCGTAAGTTACAATTAAATGTGTAATCCGAAAGAGCTTCGATACATACACACAAACACAACGTCATATCTCAGACACGAGAAAAACTGATTTTTTTCGCACATTCCCCAATCGATCTCAACTCTTTTAAAGCGAATTAAATTATAAACGAGTATTGATGTCCCGTTCGGGACGTAAAAGAGTTTTAAGTATCTATGTAGAATCGGTTCCGTGTCAAACTGAATATTTTCACCGCGATGGAGTGAAATCAGCAATGACTGTACGAACAAGGTAGTGCTCGCTCCGCGAAGAGTGTGACTCATGATGTCAGAGCCTTTTTCAAATCCACAGGTAATATCTACATCTCGTGAGTTAATCTCTTTAGAGACATATGATAGATTTAATGTACCTATAAACAAGAAAAATATGAAAATGGCAAGAATATTCCATAATTCATAGACGTAATCCCATTTCTTTCAAGTCCCCACAATTCTATGCGATGGCTGGCTTAAAAAAAAAATGACCTCAATTAATATAATTATCTAATTATTTTAGTGAATATATCGCCAGTTTTTCAAGATGAACACAAAAATACGAACTATGAATATTCAAACGTATGAATAATAATCGCCTCTATTTTAGTTTACTTTCATTTCTTCTTATACTTCATCTCTGTTGTCTGATTTATTTGCATGCAGTGAAGACCGTATTATTATTTTTCAAAGTTACAGTAATTAGAAGAATATTAGTCTTTTTTCTCTAACCAGATTTCTTTTTCGACAAAGTACGTTTCTATAATAAAATTCAGGTAGTAGTTATTAAAAATATGATGGTGCTTGTTAAAAAAGCTGAAGAAACAGACTGTTCTAATGATTCTTACCGCTCGGGCCGTATATTACCCCGCTCCGCCCGGTAAGAAATATTGGAGCACTGTGTATAATGAAGTATTAAATGTAGTTTTGGATACAAGCTGTAAGGTCAAGAATATTCGATTAATCATAATTCATGTTATTTCAGCTTGATAAATGAACAGAAATGGCGTTCCGAATATGGACTAATTAAAACAATTAGATAAACGTGTTAATTCAGGTGAAGAAATTTTTTAAAACCAGTTACCTGATGTGAAAGTAGAAACTTCACTTCATTGACTTCAATGAGAAATAAAAACTTGTGAAGCAATTGTAGAATATAAATTTAAAGGTTAAAGAGATTAATTATGTCTCTTCCACCACACAGTCAAAGCCATATGGCAGACACAGAATCATAATTTATTCTATCTTAATTAAACACCTCTTTTTTCATTGGCTATAAGAATAAAAAAAAACAACAGAAAATTTGTAAACTTAAGATAAAAATTTTATTTTAACTCTGAAGTGAGTATTGTATCATTTCACACACCTAAAAAGTATGTAAAGGAAAGTCATAATTAATCACATCACAACTATTCTGCTATTCCACTTGTCTGTATAAAGTATCTGTTAACAGGGCTACATATTAATGAACCCATTAAAAACACAAACTTCAAACTTATGGAAGTGCTGTACACTTCCTACTACATACCTGAAAACATATGACCAAACTTTCAGAACTATAATTTACCTATTCCACTTAATTACCTACCCAAGTAGGTATGTATGTATAAACCTACTGAGAATGGGAAAAAATGAAAACAGAATGAAAACATAGGTTCACAATAAATCCACACTGTAGTTCTAAATTCAATATTACACTACTTATATCACACACCAAAAACATATGGTCAATTTTTAGAATGCTAATCTACCTAACCCTAGTTACTCCCTTTCTACTCCAAATACCTATATCTTAATAAGCACAACAAAAAAAAAACAAAATAGTATGAAACTTCACAGCAGAGTCAACATTTTAAACCCGAATGTAATATTCCACTAGATATTCCTACCACATGCTGAAGTCCATATGGTCAAACTTCCAGAGCCATAACTCATCCCCTCCCAACTAGTCTATTACCGCCACAAGTATCCATATAATCTGACCACGAAGAAACAACGTCGCATAAAATAAATCTATATATCCCCTGTCGAAAGAACGACAAAGAAAGGGTGGGCAGGGGGAGTTCTCCCAGACAGAATGTTATGTTTATTCGTCGAATAAATAGAATTTGAATGAACGACCGCGATGCTGGTTTCTTTCACAATCGTAAAAATTTCCAGCGAGAGCTTCGTGCAAGTCACAAGACACGAGTCATCGTAAAACTACTTCCGTTTGCAGAACAAAAGCCGCTTTACGAGAAGACTTACGACATGCGGGGCACGTAACTGCACGGCCAAACGACTACCCCGTTTTCACGGAAAATCTTGCAACTTGGAACTTATATATCCCCGTCACGGAACGACAGGGTTTTCTAATCGTAAAAGAAAACCCAGCACCGGGACCCGAACCCAACCGGAAGTGTCAACTTTTACGGGCTAAATCACGGTCCCGTCGAAACGTGGATCCGTCCTGATTCAGCAGTCAAAAGTCCACTGTGTACTACTGCGACGTTTACAAACATAGAACGACAACCGAAAAGTCCTTCCCCAACGAAACAGTCACAGGGCATGGCAAGAAACATAATGCACACTTGAAAACACATTATCCCCGTAACGATCTCATATACTGCACTTAATACATGACAATTAAACACTGATCCCACACGCGACAAGTCCGTAACGTGGTAACTAAAAGCGACGGTCAACGCTAGATTTCCAACGTCGTGCGTCGCTCACCGTCGGCCCGAAATACGGGTAGCCTTAATTACGTACACAATCGAGCTGGGAATTCAGCGATGAGACCGTGTACCGTCTGTTGCGTTTTTATGTTGCACGTTTCACAGAAGACACCCACAGGGGGCCCCCTTCTTAAACACACTTGTGTATGCACACGCGAGAAAACAATCGCTACCGAACAGGTTCGACCACGAGGAACAGCATGACACTCTCGCTGGGGAGACTCCTTTGATCTTGGATCGGTGTGTGGACGAGTTCGGGTTCGAACAAAGCTCAACCGAACGATGCTAGAGATCGGTGTGAAGGGTTCAGGGAAGAATCCGGTGTTGTGTGCAACAGTGAGAAACAGAGGCTCGGGGGATTAGAGGGAGAGGCAGAAGAGTCGGAAGACACGAAGAAGTTCACGTAGCAAGCACGCTTACCTCTTGGTGGCGTCGAGCAACGCGCCCTGGAAGCACTTGGCACCGTGAACGAAGGACACGACGACGATGTCCGGTAGCGCGGACTCGACGGTCACGAGGATCTTGTCGCCCCTGGCGAGCGTGAGCGCGGACAGGGCCACCGTGTCCGCCGCCATCTTGGCTCGTTAGAATTATTGCTCCTCGCCGTGTCGAGGCCCCGTCGTCTCTCTCTCAGCGGATGACGTGAGGAGCGGCTGGGGCTGCCTCACTCTCCTCCGTGTGTACGGAGGCCATGGGCTCTCCGTGGCATGCCTAGGGGTGGGGGAGACAGGAGGGCAGTCTCTGGCTGTTTTGCTTGCTTGCTTGCTCGCTCGTTCGCTCGCTTGCTTTCCTAGCAGCCACCACTGCCAGCCGCGCCGCGTTTCACGTCCATGCACAGCTGGGCACTTGCGCCGCAACGCGCATGCGCCACACTCTACTCCCACTACGTTCCGACAGGGGCGTAGCGATCACGTCTCGAACCACTTGGTATTTCTAAAATGATAAGTATTTTATTGGAATTATCTCATATTGTTAAGTTATATGTATCAATTGTCTTGGATAAGATTTTAATAAATTGTTATTAAATACCTTGTAAAATATTCTTTATTAAAGGCGTTGAGCTGTAGGATTTTGAAAACCTCGTTCCATCTGAAAAAACATTTACTGGCTAAAATCGTTTTATATCAGTGAGTTAGATGCATCGGCTGTGTTCGACAATATTTCCATATGTTATTAATAATAATACACAGTAGAAATGCAATTTACTTTAGGCATTGATAACTAGAGTTTTGACTCTCTGTCTTTTGTCTGACATCAGAATTACTATTTACAATTGTATTATTAATAAATTAAATATAATATGTAATACTACTTTACTTCTTTATTGCCAATAATGTCTTATACAAGAAACTTTTACTCTTTTGTTGAGAACATTGATGCAATATGTGTCTGCATAGTTACCACGAGTCTATTACTAAAATAAACAACATTACTAATATAATAAAGATTTCAAGATTTCAATTTCCTTCTATTTCTAGTATCAGTACTAAGACCGTGGTCTCTTAATAAATTTGAACAACGTCACAATTATATTTGATAAGTTATATTACTCACAGTGTGGTGTCGCAAAATGAGCCCTGGAACGGAAAATTTATTTAATGCATCCTCCCTACGGCACTGTGTTACTTTGCCCCAGGCCTGTAGCATACGTCCACGTCGCCACTCCTGTACAAACAAGCAAACCCCACAGACAGGGTAGCCTTTCGTCGAAAAGCAAGAATCTTTCTTCGACGATATGTCACCCGTTTTTTTATTCGAACGACTTTTCTCCCTTCGCAGTTTACCTTGTCCATGTTAGGGTGCGCCAGTCATATGGTTTTCGGTATAATTTGCTTTCAGACGGTGCGTGCCCGGTTTAGATACACTACTCCACACACACATACTTTTCGGAAGCATTCTTTCTCCATGACACAGTGGGTACAGCCTGGAAGAATAAGCCGCTATTCGTTATAGAAACATATTCCATCTAGATTTGTTTCATTAACGACCATATTATCCCGATTTTTGCATCAGGAACAGAGATTTAGTACAGAAAAAAGACAAAGACAGTATATAAAAAAAATATTGGAGCATACATATTCCTCAACCAACACCACCTTCAATTGTAGTAGGCTCTTAAGCAATGTATTTTTTTATTATTCAGTACCTATCGCTCTACACTGACTATAAAAGACTTGAGGGTATAAATATTTTTTTATTCACTACATAATACCGTTATTCTGTGTTTAGATATAAGACTCGAGTCAGTTTTCACGTTTCTAACTTTTTTTCTCTACTGCTCCAAGAGAAAGAAAGATCATTAGCTATCACATGGCACTCCCCGGTTCTTTTGCTCACTTTGCATACGGCTGGTTGTGGGTCTAACAAAGAGGCCATGGCTATCTTCAATTTTTAAACGATACCACCGACATCAAGATCTCGAGATCTGCCCTTCTAATCGACGTTAATTGAAACATGATTCGATACGTTGTCTTTTTAGGCTTGCCTCGGTTCCTGCGATGGTCTTCGAAACAACGTCTGTTCTGCTTCGCTGCCTTTTCCCGTCGGTCAAGTTTAAGCGGAAAGAGAATCTGTATCAAGAGTAAAACTGCTGCAAAGTTGGTCAACATTTATTTCAAGTATCGAGAAGATCTTAAAGAATTCGAATTAATACGGTCAATATTTATCCACATAATTAACACGATCAAGGTCAGTTACATATTTTTCTCTCGTTTTGAATTTATAAATTATAATGTATACACCACATTGTAAAATTACAGTAGCTAACAACAGTATTGTCATCCACTGTTCCAGAGTAATTTCACAGATTTCCAGCTTATACCATCAAAAATCCCTATTATCCTCCTCTCTCTCTCTACACTATCTTCGATCGTTTCGAACAATCCGTTATCATTATGGTACTTTATGCGCGAGTATATTTGTTACGAGAGACCAAAAGACCCTTTTCATCCGCCACGTATGATTCATCAATATCCATTAGCCGCGGAACCTGCGCCGGAAGCGTACAGGAAGAGAGTTGAGCTCAACGGTCAAATAATGTTCGACTGATATTACATCATAAATATTACGAAATACATAATTCGTGACAGCTCCTAGCCACAATATGGTGACGCATGACGAACGGGGTCGAGTTCTACTTTCCGCACGGAAGCGTACACACCCCAACAGCAGAGCTTTCTCGTGCACCAACTTTTCGTGTGGTGGTGGCCGCGTTGCATGCGGCCCACGAAAAATGAGAAGAAAAAAAATGAAAGAGGGCGAGACCGGGGAGATAGACGAACAAGCCTGGCACAACGGGAGTCGCGAAAGAAAATCACGGCACGAACATTTCAGGAATTCGACAGGAGCGCCCGTGAACTTGATTCTGTCCGCTGACCCCCCGCACCGGGTGTTATTTAAACTTTCTCTGACTGCTGAGTTTCATAACATTAACCCTAGAAAGGCTGTGCGCCTCGAGCCGTCGCAGTGGTCGAATAAACAATGTTCGAATAACAACTGCATTTATTTAATTACACCAACAACTGCGTATAATCATTTATATCTCTTCTTGTCGTTAATTTTGAGATTTGGTAATGTAACGTGTATTTAGAATGTTTTAGCAGTTTGGTTCTCAGCTTCAAAAGCAACACACAGTGAAGATCTTGCGGTGGAAATTGTTGCTCAAGTGTCCGCTTATATTTTTAACAAATACATTATTACAAATGTAAATATCAAAAATAAAAATCTAATGTTATTAGACAGAAATGTTTTTCTTTTTACATGCTATTATCGTAACATTACGAAAACGTTTTTCTGACCCGGGTATTGATCCACTGTATACCAGATAAAACGAATTCTGAACAAGAATGCATTGCAGAATATAGTGAATGACTGAATTTTCCAGCACGATAGCAGCCCTAAACACGCTCCCCGCATTGTAAAACGTAAGGCTAACGCACAAAGGAATGCCTGTATTGGAGTGGCCACTCAAAACGTGGATATAAAATCTGTGGATTTATTTAACTCAAAATTTGGGCAATTGAAAAATGTGAACGATGTGATACCTGAATTATTGCGGCAAGAGGGGCAGAGCAGTAGAGTGTCGAGGAAAAGTGAAGATGAAACGATAGTAAAACGAGCTTTAAGTTGCTAACCGAGTTCATGACTGAATGACGGGTCTAATGGGCTTTATTTGCATCGACCAATACTTTATCGACGCTATTTAGTAAACAGGATTGTAATGTAGGTAGACGAAGTCCATTCGAGTGAACACGTGTGTATCTTCGATATTAGCTCTACATTGTCAATATTATTGCGCAACTCAGAATATTGCGCACTCCATATCGAGCGTTTAGGGCGTTCTTCAAACTGCCACTGCATTGGGAAACATGGAACTCTAATAATCCTGGCAAACAGACACACAGTCTGACAGGTTTCTCAAGTAGCAAAATTCTGCTATCGCGGAATATCGTAGATTTAAAAAAGTATACAGATACTTTTGTACAGACATTCAAGGCTTTTGAATAAGCACTATATATATAATAGTAAAAAATACATTCTTCTAAAACTCACTGTACAGTTCAAGTGGAATGAGATAATGGACGTTTTTATAAAATAAAAACGTTGGATGTATATTTTTCATCATATATAGTCAATATATTTTTTTAGCTATTGTATATTCGTAAAAATTATATGGTACTTTAAGAAGACCCAAGTGTACTTCATCTGAATCTTTTTATTCTGATATAACCGACAACCTCAAAAATTGTTGAAATTAATGATACGTCTCTACGAATTTCTTGGCCATTATAGTATATTTTAGAAAGTAAGATCATTACGGCAGTATCAGCTCCGAAAAAACTAGGCATTCACATGAAATAACCTTACATTTCAAAAATTACTATTAAGATAAAAGTAACCGAATAGCATTGAACAACTCATTATTTCAAACGTTATTTTTCATGGAGCATTTAAAATACTTTGAGCCCAAACCTGTTGTACACGCAGTCCAAGGCGCAGGAGAGAACTCGCAAAAGAAAAAGTTAGTCAAAATTATCGATCCTTTTATTAGCCGCGAAAGTTAGGCATAACAATCCTGTTCTGCGAGAAAGAGAAGGACCGTTCATACGGGGCGTATGGCACGGATGATAATAACAATAATATAGAAATCACCGACGGGGAAGGAGAACGTGTCAGGGCCGTATAGAGATAGCTGGGACTCGTTGCAGGGCGCCGGTCCGCGATCAGCTGGCCTCTGCGCTCTCCCGGTAGAGACCAGAACGAAAGAGGGGCTCTCCAGGAGTGACGCACGCGTTTCACGGTAAGCAGGCGAAAAAATTAATCTACGCTATACATAACACGTTACATAACAACAAAGCCGTGCACGTGTCGTTCGACGGGGCAGCTGGAACGAGGTAAAAAAAGGTACGATGTTCTACAGCCACTTCGCAGTTGCCATTTATGACTAAAAATGTGCCGGTACTCCGATCGAAATTGGGGCGTTCAACGACTACCAGTTTCTTCTGTCGGACGGTGCATGGTCGATAAGTGCACCGAAATGTTATGCTTATCAAACTTTAGTCCTGTACGCGAAATTGTGGGACGCGAGGTCACGATGAAAAATAAAATCAGTGAACGGTGGAAGATAAGTGTTCGAAGGTGTGAGAACCAGTAACGAACAGAAAGGATGACAGTTACGTTCGTCGAACGTCCAGCCGTGGATTGTGCCGCGTTTTGAGTAATGTGGTTTAAATACGTATGTGAACGGGGCGCGCCGGTTGTACGGCACGGCAATGCACGATCGGGTATCGGACTCTACCGGACGAAACCGTGTGGCTCACGTACCACTCACATGCGTTTAAATAACATCGATCGATGGATCCGATTCGGCATTGTTAAATTTTCCGTTCGAATTCACGATTCTTCCAAGCCTCCGTGAACATCGACTGTATGCACGTTCCCGCGGAAAAACAATGTCGAACAATCGATACGTCAGCCATTAGGCTTTTCAACGTATCGAACGTTCGTTTGAATGTTCTCCCTGTTGCGGGATACATATACTTACCGTTGATTTAAATGCCATACTAATGCTTCGAGCGCAATTTCAATAGGGTACCCACAGACCGTGTCAATCTTCGGGTTTTGTCATGTGCTAACCATCTTAATGGCATGATAAGATAATAGGAGACAATGAAATAATGTTTGATAAATATCCCGTTGTTTACGTAGAATGAGAATACATGGGAATATCGAAGTGATATAAGTATACGGACAAATTGAAGCATTTCTAATGCTGTTTGAAATAAATTAACCGTGGATGTTTGTGCAGAATGTATTACTTAATCTACTTGACACTTATGTCGCATACAATATGACAGTTCATTGTCATTCATCGTCACGATTCATAATGGAACATTATATTTTTATGACATAACAGTATTATGGTTATTTCGGCGCGTCGGGCTAGCTCATAACTATAAATATGCTGTGTGTCAAGAGGCCTACCCCGGCAAGTTCAACCCATTCTTTTTCGTTCGTTTTTCAAATTGTACCTTCAGTAAAAGGTACATTGAGCGATCGGTCTTGGTGTTTCGCAGTCTGTTGAAGAAGGATTGAGGCGACGAACGGTCCTCGATTGAGAAAAATGGGGGAAGAAAGGCTGGACCTAGACAAACCACTATGGGATCAGAGCTCGTTCGCGGGTAGATGGAAACATTTCGCTTGGGTGACTGACTTCCGAACCTGTACCGTTCCCGAGTCCGAGTTACTCAAAGCGAAGAAATTATGCGAGGACTATAAGTGAGTATGTACACGACGAGGCAGACGACTGGTTAATTCTGCTTGAACAGGGGCCAATTTTTCCGGAATACGAGGCTCGTGGTTCAAAAATAGGCCTTATAAAGAGAAACACACAGAACGACCCAGTAGTCTGACCCGTTTTAATGTATGAATGAACACATTCTAGAAATTATGCCATGGTTGAATGTTTTTAATAGGTTAGAATTAACAGGGACTTACGGTAAACGGAAGATAACAAAAGGACTCTCAAACTGACGTCTAGGGTTCGAATGAACCTTTTCTGATTATGCATAGACAAACACTATTGATTTGATCTTTTGTAGACATACATTTTTGTGGTGAATAGAAAAAAGATTTACGAGTATCCGATAAGATATGATCTTAACCACTTAAACGCTCACGCCAGTGTTGCTGTTGCCGGATCTATAGGGTTTTCTACAATGTGTGCTACAACCGAGAAACTGAGTAATATATCAAAAACAAATCCAATGTTGCAGTAGTATCCAAACACCGATCCAATTACGTAGATTCGTTCCAAAAGAATTTCTGTACATTACTCGAAGAACTTACGACATACATGACGTCATATTTTAAACAGATCCTTAATAATTTTTATTAAATGAAATGATCGACTTTTCACTAATATTTAAGCTGAGTCAACAACGATCTTGACACCACAACCTAGAAATCACTTTTTTGTAAGTTTCTGATGACCTATTTATAGAGAATAGGGTGACTAATGATCATGACATAGTTGAATGACCATATAAATCATATAGTCACCGTACCGTGGACGTAGGAATAATTTTTCCAGGGGCGGAAGTAGTAAAAGGATTCCATCTGATTAAGTTTTCGCTCTAAACCAGCCACCGAACGTTTCAAACTTCAGGAATTACAAGAATGCTTTTGTTATGTGTCGTTCACATGAGCGTAGCCGGGGGAGGGGGGGGCAAAATTTATTGTGTTAATCAGTAATAAATATTCTTATTTTTACAACAAATATGTAGCTCCTGTTCGTTCGCAACTGGGCAAAATCGTCATGTATCATTCGTTATTCGAAGATATGTACATAAATTGTCCACAAGGGAAAGTCTAAGGGAATTTTTCAGATAAAATCGAGCCTACCATAGTTGGTTATTTGTTTTTTTTTTTTTGAATCTACGAAAATCAATAGCCAGTTTATCCTATAGACTTGGGAAGGAGCCAGCTGGTACAACCCGGGAGCAAATCATCTATGCTAAGAAGCTTTACGAGTCGGCCTTTCATCCCGACACGGGTGACCTGCAGAATGTCTTCGGCAGAATGTCCTTCCAAGTGCCAGGTGGAATGGCTATAACCGGTGCTATGCTTCAGTTCTACAAGTAAAATTCTCTTATTACACACACCGCTGATTGATCCTCGGTTGATGCCCTGTCAATATTACAACACAATGCACTTTCACTTCATAGAACAGAACAAAGTACAGTTGATATATTAGCGTTAAAAGTACGAGCCCACTTGGCGTCCATTCTGATCAACTCTACCTTTATAAATTTCTAAATTTTAGTATTTTTTTGTATACATCTATTATCAATATATTTCTATTATTATATTTTTAAATATTTTACATGTACGTTGTTAATAATTATTATAAGGAATACTTTTTATTGCGTGGCTGTCGTCAATCGACCGTGAAATAATTATTCAAATCGAGAGTAACTGTATTCAGCGCACAAATTTGATTGAATGTATAATTGGAGACACTTGTCCGGTATGATTTGTAACAGTGAATTAGTAACTTGTACACGACTCAATGAATTATAAATCAGCGTTGCATTGTTACCTAGAGTAAATCTTTCAGGACAACCACGGCTGTGGTTTTCTGGCAATGGGTGAATCAGTCGTTCAACGCTCTAGTCAATTACACGAACAGAAATGCGAATAGCCCGACGACGGAATTTCAATTAGGGGTGGCTTATGCAAGCGCCACCACGGCGGCCATGATAACAGCAATAGGATGTAAATCATTTTGGGCGAAACGGGCCAATCCACTTATGGCGGTAAGGATGAATTTCCTGCGGGATAACGTACGGTCACGCAACGTCACAGTGTTCCATGCATTTTAAAATTTCAAATAACACACCGAATACAAATATGCCTTTAAGTAAATGAACTGATCAATGCACCAACCATAACTCATCTTTCTGAAATATTGGCGACAGAAGAAGTATGTACCTTTCGTCTCAAATCATTTTTTGTCCCCTTTTGAAAACACAAATTAAAGCTGGACTTAACACTAGAACTACCAGCCGTGAATGTATACGAAATTAAATTATGCAATATAGTAATATAGATAATATTTAATACAATCTAGCATAATATAGAATATATAGTAAATTAAAAGTCAACATCATTTTGACATCTGCAATCCGTCATCTTAACGTGTTTGGTAGTTCTAGTGTTAAGCTTTGAAGGGGTAGTGGTAAAATTATTTTTATTACTCGACTAGGGTAAAAATTTGTTACTTATGATTTGTAAAGAGGGCAACAATTTGTGTCCGCAGCGTTATGTGCCGTTCGCCGCAGTCGCCGCGGCTAACTGCGTGAACATTCCTCTGATGAGGCAGAATGAGATCGGTAAAGGGATCGAGATCGCTGATGAAAACGGCAACAAACTTACAAAATCGAAGGTTGGTATACTGAGTAGAATTAAAATACAATAAACACTGTAATCGAACATCTGTCAGGTGATGCAACCGTTTCATAAATTTATTACAGCTCGCGGCAGCCAAAGGTATCAGTCAAGTAGTCATCTCAAGGATTATTATGTGCGCGCCCGGAATGTGTAAGTGAAAACAAAGAAAGTATAAAAATCTATGTTAAAGTAATTTACGATTTCGGTGATGAAATTCTAATTTCCTTTTGTTAGTAATTCTTCCACCCATTATGGAAAAACTGGAGAAGTACCATTTCATGCAGAGGATCACACCTTTGCATGGACCAATACAAATTTTAATGGTCGGCTGTTTGTGAGTAACTTTACACTGACGGTTTTCCAAGTGGAATACAAACAAAATTAAATAAATAACGATTCTATTAATATTTCAGCCTGACATTTATGGTGCCCACAGCGTGTGCGCTATTCCCACAAAATTGGTAAGTACGAATAAGTGTTTCAGACATGTATCAGGTATAATAGTGAACGTACAACCACAGAGAACAAAGAAAAGTTCGTTCAAAAAACACTCCACCTTTAGATTACATAATTTGAAAAAGTACGTTGAAGGTTAAGCAATCGGATAAAAATTCGACATTACGTATTCGGTTTCGGCCAATCAAAAGCGTTAATAAATATTCTGTATCAATTTCCATAAGGTCACCTGAATGTATATTTTGCACATGTTTCGCAGCTCAATTAAGTCAAGCACTCTGGAACGCTGGGAGCCCGAAAATTATGAGCTTCTGAAGAAGAACTGCGGAAACAGGGATATACCCGAGCATTTATATTTTAACAAGGGTTTATAATGTACAAAAACTCTTAGTCGTGATAAAAAAAAATTTGAGGGGATAGTTTCGGTCACCCCCTATGTGTGGACGACACCGAAGTTCACGTAATTTGTAGTTTTCTGCTGGTTCAGAGGATGAAGCACGTTCCATTGGGGAACACACGCAATACCGGTTGACCGATGACAATACATGCATTTCGAGAAGTTTTTTAATTCCGTTTAGGAAAATAGAGGTATATTTTATTTTTGATCCTCGTTGTATTACAGCACGCCACTTTGATATTTAATTTGCATTTCCATCGCGAGTAAACTTGTATCTCCTTCTGTAGTGATTAACACTATAATCGTTGACTATACATACTGTTAATTCGCGACATCATCATACTCCCATTCAGTTAAGTAAACATACCATTCGATTAGTCAGGCGACGACTACGCAACTCTGGCCGTTAAATTATTAATCGCTGGAGATGCGTCTTAAGTCCTGAACGACTGTCCATGTTCTATTGTTATTACTTCCCTGAACTGTTAAGTGAAACAAAAAAGTGCTGCCACGTATATTTTAGTAATATTACAATAAACGCTGAAAAAGATCAGTCTTTCTGTGAGTAAATTATTTCATTCCCGGTCCGTAGTACAGTAACTGGCAAAAAGTGTTCATCGTTTGAACATTTCTCAATGCCTGGAGATTATTGAACGCACTGAACGTATACATGATTTTCATGACAGTAGTTTAGGTTAACTCAAGACCTTTTGCCTGAGATGGTAAGTTAATATTGTTATAGACATGGAAAAAATGTTTAACACAGTACGTGGTCGTATGTACATGAAAGACTATATATTAGGTCGAGAATGTGAAGCTTGGTTCGGTTGCGGCATATAACCGATGCGTTCTTGGATTTCACTTTGCGGCACTTTGCCTCCCCACGTGGGAGGATTGAACGCTGGCTGTCTCTCGGATTCTTTCTTGGCTTCGAGAGCCTTTCTCATCGCCTCATATTCGACCAAATCGTCTAGTCGTAGGTCAATTCTTGTCGGGCTGCGTCGTATCATTTTCCTGAGAAAAGTTCAAGAAACCTTTCCTTAAATGCCAAAAATTCGAACAGCGCGCCAATCGGTACACGTGGAACGCGACACAAGCAGAAAGAACGACGACCCACTACGTTCTATGATCCTTAACTCTACACAACACAATCTTGTGCCATACCGTCGAAATATGTACAATAGTAAGTTAAGTTAATATATGGTGATATTTTAATTGGTAAAGCATTCAAAAACCTTAACAAGGACGAGTTTCACAATTAAGGATTAAAGTAATTAAGCTCAGAAGGAAAAATATATGAAATTATGAAAATAGTGGAGTTAAAAGAGTTCCAGTTTATATTTCAAAGATGTTTAGTTCAAGAAATTGTAATTTTGAAAGATTTTACCCGAATAGGGCGCCGAACTTACGTAAAGACACCCCTGAGCTTTAGGCTAAGATGGCGGATTACAACGAATAGATAACTGGGCAGTAATAATTCCGAAATAAATAGCACCACCGAGAATGGATTAATTACTGTGCCACTTAGTTTCAGCGAAATAAGATTTTTTACATGTTATTTCGTGCGAATCATTCACAGATTCGCACCATTTACAGAACTAGCGTGAAAATGTGGGTACAATAAGGGATTTGGCCGCCGTAAACACGCTTCCGATCGAGTGCTACAATTTTCGTTAATTCTGCCACGGCGGCAAGCACTCCCCCTTAGTAAATTGTAAATAATTGTAAATTAAGCACCAGACAACGAAGCGCCGGCACGAAAGGATGCTTTACTTGGAAGATTATGTCGAAAGTACGTAAAAACGAGGCATGCTTTGCTTACCCAGCTTCTCAAGAAAGTTACTAACCTTTCCGAATATACTGTCTTGCGAAAACATCAAAAACTTCTGCCAAAGCGAATGCCTTTGCAAATATTCTGTTATCACACGTAATCACTGAAATGCTGCTTTTTCTTTTACCGTAAGATTAAACACCCTATAGTATGAGCAATTTCTTGATACACAGTTGTATTTAAGTTTTAGGTTAGTCGTATGTTTTCTAAATGGTTCATAACAGCCTCTGCTCTTACTGATACATTTTAGAGTATAACTCACCTTGTATCATATCTGGTCAATAGTATATGATCACTTCAATGATTCTGCTAGTTAGATCAATGTCAGTCCTTATTAAATAACTGGCTTTTTTTACTGTAATCTTGTTTGGTTATGTTGACCTTCTTCTATGCTTTCAGTGATCGAGCATCTACCACAAGAATTAAGAGACCGGTTCACAGAAATGAGAGAAATGGACTTAGGTGTACAAAGTATGTACCCGTCAATACAATACAGAACTTGTTACAGAGCAGTTCTAGTCATACTTATAACATATTTATTTTATGCTTCATTCTAAACATTGTTCTAATCGTTCTAGATTCAATGGACAGTTTAGAAAAAAAAGTAAAGACTTTCTTTTCGAACGCGAAAAAAATGAAACCTAGTGAAAAAGAAGCGGAATATGAAGCCATTAGAAAAGAGTATTATAAGACTTTGGAGGATGCAGATGAGAAGGTGCACTTAGCTAATCAGATGTATGAATTAGTAGATAAATATTTAAGGAGATTAGATCAGGAGCTGCACAAATTTAAAATGGAGTTAGAAGCAGATAATAAAGGTATCACCGAAGTATTGGAGAAGAGGTCATTGGAACTAGACCAACCACCTACGAATAGTAGTCAAAAAGAAAATCGGTATAGTTTCACATCATCCAGTAGATCACGAGACAATCATAGTCATTGTAAGTACTATGCTAGTATACATATTTTACATGTACGCATGTAAAATATACTGTATAACAATATTTATTTTTTACCTCGTATAGCACGGGCAGAGAAAAGAAGAGATTCAAATGCATCGTCAACTTCGATAGAAAAACGTTTAGCTATAGAAAAAATTTCACCAAACGTTCCTGAATCGCGACCCGCTTCTGCAAATTCAGGACCAATTATTGCCGCTACCAGCGTGCCATCCACACCCACTGCAATTGCAAATTCTGTTGGCTCTGTAAGTTATAACCTCGGTCATATAGGAGCTGGTGGAAATGCCATAGCAGCTGCAGCATCTCAAGCAATTGCTGCGACGCAGCAAATGCAACAAGGTAGACGTACTGCCAGTTTGAAAGCTAGTTACGAAGCTATCAACACTGGTGGCGTACACGCTGCCGAGTTTAGTAGGGAACTAGCTGGCGCTGCTCAAACCGCTATCGCAGCTATACAAGAAACAACTAAAAAGCATAAAAAGTATGGATTTCCCACGATCAAGTAATATTTTTGTGATACATTTGTTGCCCATCATTCTTACTGAATCATTATTATGTTATTATTATTATATATTCTCTTTTCAGGAAAGTAACGACCGCAGTTCCAAGTTCGAGCGTAGTTGCAGCGTCTGTTCAACAACCAGTATCGCCGCCAGTTATAACTACGAATACACAAGTAGTGGATTCGGATAATCCAGATTGGACGTATGATCCAAACGAACCAAGATATTGTATATGCAACCAAGTATCTTATGGAGATATGGTTGCATGTGACAATTCAGATGTAAGTTCAATTCTTCGGTTGCATCGGACTTACTGTCTTTAATAGAGTAGGAATAACCATTTATACGTTTTGTTGCAGTGTCCATTCGAATGGTTTCACTATCCATGTGTGGGTATCACTGCACCGCCAAAAGGCAAGTGGTACTGTCCTCAATGTACATCTTCTATGAAGAGACGCGGAGGTCGGAAAAACTGATTATATTATAATCAGTACGAGTATAATGAAAGAAAATTGCTACTACCTCTTAGGCACTATCCGTCAAGTACCAACTTAGTTAGGAAGCTGTTAATTCTGATTTTATATGACTTTTTAAATGTGTTTAAAGTTTAAGTCGTACTCCTATCTGGTCTTGGTCTTGTCTCATAATATTTGAATTTCTGTTTCTAAAGCAGAAAACAGCAGTTTTTTTTACTGCGTTTTGTAGATAAAGCGAAACGAGAAAAAAGTGAGAAATGGTGCAAAAACAGTGAGCTTTGAACAAATTCCGTTTTAAGATGTTTCGCGTACGAGTACTGTGAATATTTTTATATTTTTTGCACCATTCTGTACTACGACCACGTTAGATAGTTTCTACGAATTTACATTAAAAGGTAATCTTTCCCTCTGTACACGATACAATCAACTGACTGAAGCCGTGGACAAAGTGTCACTGTGAATTTTCGAAATTTGTGTTTATAAGTTACGCGATGGCAAACAACTTTCGAACAATCTTCGTGTATATTACGTACTCCTGTTAGTTCAGACATGCTTAGTGTCTCGCTGAATTAACGACCGTGCGAGCAATAATATTTTAAGTGTTCTACGCTTTCAAGAATGAAAAAGTAAAGAGAAAAAAAGCTGATGCAAATAAATCGTCAAAATACTACTTTCGAAACGAAGTAATGTAGCATCTTGGTGTATAAATAAAATGATCGATGCTGATTTATTACCTGTGTACTTCTATACTCCACTTTTTAAATACCCTTAAACTTAACGTAAGTGTCACTATATCATTTTTAGTGGCACTAATTCGTAACTGAATTGAATTTTTGGTTTTATATCCGTACACGTTCATGAGCGCAGTTTTGAATGAATGAATGTTCATGCCTATTCTGAATACCACCAGAAGGCGCCATACATAAAAATAAATCCGAGAGGGAAAAACCAATGTAATTACAACATGATTCATAATGCAACTGCTGGGAACCGATAATTATTGACCTCCTTCATTTTTGGCCTTGCCGCTATGTAGTTTCACTTCGGCTACTTTACTATAAAAATCGGTGTTGCGACACACGTTATCTACACAAATGAAGACGTAATTATGATCGGAAGTAATTTCCGGTAAATTACAGGGCGATATATTTTACACCTGTTTCATTGTCACAAAGCGTTATTATTCTTTTATCTGTGAAAAACCGTACATTCTTTTCGTTCCGAAAGGATGTACGAGTTAATGTCTTCCTCTAAATACTACCGTAGAATCACCGCAGGACTTGTATATAAATAAACGTACCTCTGGTCAGTTATAACTTATTGTCGTCCGTCTTGTACAATTCGTGAAAGAGTTTGAATTTGAAAATTATTAAGTGATAACTATATCAAATTAGTCAAAATACGTATTTCCTAGTGTTTCATGATGTTGTGTGTAGTGTTTTTGTTATACGGTGTTAGTATCTTACGGGATCAAGTTTTCGCGCAAAGTGACACTATAATTTTCGATAACGGTTCAACCACTAAGGCGCCAAGTACGTAAGACATTTAAATTTACCATATTGTCTTATAGTACTTTATAAATAAGTATAATCTGTTTACATTAATGACAGTATTAAATTAATATATATATTATTGATTATAACCGATCAAAAAATCATTTTTACTCAGTGTTTCTATTTTATAATTAAGGTACTAATGGTGGCATGACGTGCTCTTGCGTGTCAACGAATAACTGTCCATACATTAATACCGGTATTGACATTCGAATCGTTAATATAGTACGTATATAAAATTAATTTTTAATTATTAACTCATAGCGATAGTATAAATTTATTTATATGTTATTTCTTTAGGTTTCTAATTGTTCCATTGGACAAGTGTATTGCTGTATGCCATCCTCTGGAAATTTGATCGACACAACTTGTGGTATTAGAAAAATTTCTGTAACTGCACATCCTCAAGGTCAAGCCAGTTATGGAGCATATCCTTGGCAAGCTGCGATTTTGACCACAAGCAATGCTTACATAGGGTCTGGTGTCCTGATTACACCAAATCATGTACTCACTGTTGCTCATAAAGTAGCCTCTCACATGTGAGCATCTTAAAGATTACACTTCTATAAAAAATATTCTCTTAATTATTCTTTCCTGCTCTTGTAATATTTCGTACTTCTGTAATTTAAAGATATATTAAATTTTCCAAATGTAATAAAAATATTTTGTAGGAATAGTGAACTCAAAGTAAGACTAGGAGAATGGGATGGCCAATCTACAAATGAACCCAATCCATATAAAGAATATTTAGTTCAGAAGGTTGCTATGCATCCAAACTTCAACTCTGTTCAACTTGAGAATGATGTAGCTGTATTAACTTTGAGTGGTACTGTGTCTATTTCAAGTAGCCCAAATATTAATACTGCATGCTTTCCTTCAGCAATACCTGCAACTGGTACCAGGTGAGTGTTCCAAAAAAATTATATACCATTAAATCATAAAAAAACAAATACAAATATAAATATTTCTAAATTAATTGTATATATGTATTTTACAAGGTGTTGGGTATCAGGCTGGGGAAAGGATGCATTTGGCATGAATGGAAAATATCAAAGTATAATGAAAGAAGTGGATGTACCCATTGTAAGCCAAACAGCTTGTGAGGCCTCTCTTCGACAAACTAGACTTGGGCAGTACTTTAATCTAAATAAAAACAGTTTTGTATGTGCAGGAGGAGAACATGGGAAAGATGCATGCACAGTAAGGAATTAATCATTTTTACTCCATTAGTGTTCACCACAATTTCTTAACAGTATAATACCAAACAATTAATTCTTTCAGGGTGATGGTGGTTCACCAATGGTATGCCAATCTGGAAATGGGCAATGGCAAGTTATTGGTATGGTAGCATGGGGTATTGGTTGTGCAACAAATAATGTTCCAGGTGTCTATGTGAATGTATACAATTATATTTCTTGGATTACAGAACAAATAGGTCAAATTATATAAATACATAGGAAGAAGAATATAGATACCTGAACTAACTGAAAATCAGAGCAGTACAATGTACTATACTTAAATTATTTAAAATATTATTTAGAAGTGTTTTTTTATAAGGAACTTAACAGTTCAATCGTTATCCAAAGACTAATATATGCATTGTAGAGTTATATATTTGTACAATTATACTCATGTAATTATACATTCCTAAATATAATATATATGAACATAAAAATATTTTTATTAGACTATTGAGAAAAATCCCGTGTTGGGACCCAACGCAGGTAGGCAATGGTAGTTGATGGTAGTAACGCTCGTTGCGTCTTGGGCCGTCGACACGGGTCACCAAACCATAATAAACAATAGATACACCAAGCCTCACTTCTTCCAACTCATAGTACCACCTCTTGGACCACCTACACCAACTAAAATTCTGCATTTTCTACCAATCAAGAGCCGATCCGTTCCAGCAAGCATCCATACATTCACTCATTCAGTAGAACACACATTCAACCGTCAACAAGAACACATCGATCAGTCAGGTCAGAACACAGATCATACATATACATCACATTATTAAGTTTATATTAAAGTCCTAAGTATGTTACTAAGTTGTGTTAATCATTTAAAACACATATTACTACACACCATCACTTAATCTTTTTAACGAGCTCCGCGGTATTAATTTACAAAAGAGCATTGGTTAATCGCGAGCTTAGCGCGAGTACGCCGCAACATCCCGATTTTTATATTATTATTAATTTTTAAATATTAATACCCTTTCCTTTTGTTTTGTTTATTGAAATAAAACGATTTGGTAACACATAATTATTTATAAATTGTAATTTTTCAAAGTACATTCAAATATTATTCTTTCTTAGAATAGACAATTCAAAACATTTGGCGCGTTCATGAAGATTAAGTTTTACATATGGTGCGTGATCGAAAAACTTAAGAATGTATAAACAGAGTTCATTTTATTGGTTCGCTAATTAACGATAGAAATGATAATAAAATAGTTATTACTGTAATTTTTATAAATTAGTTGATCTCGCATTTGAAGTAGTTATGTATGAAAACTAATGAAAATGAAAATTCGTGTGTAGGTAGAAGGTGTTTATGTACTGTGTTTGACGTTTGCGGGAAGAAAAATCTACTTTTACGAATTTCTAATACCTATTTAAAATAATTAATAACAATGGACTCCGACGTAGAAAGCGATAACTCTTCAAATCAACCTAGGGAGTATGAAATGTTAGGTACATTATTTCCTATAATTATTGTACTAACGTATGAAATGATTACATTAATCAATTAGGTTATGCTGTGTATTTTCACATATTGTTTCGAATTGTACGAATTTTAAAGTGTCGATTGTCGTACTATGCTTATATTTTGTTTTTATATAATCACAAAGAATGTTTAGAGCTTGTAACACTTTCCAGAATATGTAGATAACTGGGAGAATAATGTTGAGGTAGAGTATGAGGAGGCAGAAAATATTGAAGAACCACTAGAAAATACCTTTGACTTAACATTACCAGCTACACACTCTGTAAGTTTCCAAGCACTCCGATATGTTCCATAAATTTTTGTTTTATTTACTGTAATGAAACCTAATATTTGATTGATATGTGTAATGCATAAATGTGTTACTAGTATTTAGGACAGAACTTGGAAGAGCTCAGAGGAAGGATATTATTTGATGATGGAATTTATATAAATTTGCCACTATTAGTGCGGGAATCTGTTATATTATTTCCTGGTCAAACATTACCAATGACGATAAATGATACACAGACTATAGACATGTTATTGAAATGTCTTCAAAATAGTCGAACGTTAGGTGTTGTTTGCATGAGACATAATAAAATGGTACCAATAGGCACAACTGCTGAAATCTATCAATGTCTGTACAAAGGTCCCGAAGAAGGTTATTGTATAAAAGCAAAAGGCAGACAACGTTTCAAGATTCTGCAAGTAATAGTGCAGGTTTTTTTTAACTATATTTAGGTGCAATTCTATTACTTTCAATAGTTCAATAATTCAGTCCAAATAATACTTTATAGTAAATATCCACTTTATCATAACATATTAATAATATAAAAAAAACTTGAAGATTTTTAATATTTAATAAAGTAAAGGCATTTAAAATAAATAGTGTTTTAATTAATATACAATAATGCCTATTAGTAAATTCCTTCTATCCTTATTAGCTAATTGTGTGATGTAATTGTTAGATCTTTGTTTATGTTTTCTACTGTTACCATTATGGTTACCGTATATACTTACGTTTATGCATATAGGGTTATGATCGAGTATCAGCAATTGTTAAAGTTTTACCAGAAATAACACTTGGGCCACCACTCTTCGAAGTACGTTTGGCCTCATTAGATCGTTTACGGATGAAACCAACTAATGAGGAAGATTTCAAAAAACAAGAAAGAGTAGAGAACATAGATTCCATGGTAACTCCTTGGCCTGGCTGGGTTTATAGACAGTACGATCCTTTAAGACTTTCTTTAAAAATACGGAAACACCTAGAGTTCATTGAAAACAGTAAGTGCATTGAACTACTAAAAATGGTTTGGAGACACCATTTTTCAACTGTAACTGATTTGGTATTTGAATAATTTCAGGGGGGAGTAGTATACCAGAAGATCCAACAAATTTGTCACTTTGGGTTGCCAAAAATTTGATACTAGATGATAGTGAAAAAATTGCTTTATTAAATTATGATTGTGCAATATCGAGGTTACAGAGAGAGATTAAGTATTTAATAGACGTATGTATATATTAAACTAACACTGTCTATTTTACTAATAAAATTATGTTGGACCACTTATGTTTATTTTTACGTCTATAGGATAAAATATTCGTTTGTAGTATATGCAATATCTTCATTGGAAGACAGTCAAACATGTTTCCAATGAGTATAGAAGGTCCACTTGGTACTTATTGCAATCCTTCTGGTATTATATATGATACCGTGACTTTGTATCACGCACAGGGTCTTACGTTAAGTGGTAATGCACCATCAATGGGATATACATGGTTCCCAGGGTAAATATTATTTCGTGTATTATTAATTTTATTCTGTTGGGTAACATGTTTCATTAATTGATTTGATTTTGCATAGATATGGATGGACAATAGCTACATGTTCAAATTGTCATTCTCATATGGGATGGAAATTTACAGCAGTTGAAAATAATTTGAAACCTAAAGCGTTTTGGGGTTTGACGCGTAAGAGTTTGAAAACTAAAGAAATATGAACGAACCAAAAGTTGAAATACACATTATAATGAACCAGAATGTTTCCTTGCCAATATGTAACGTTTACGTATATTCCTTTTATATTGTTAACCATTGAATGTATGGGTATTGTAGAATAAGTTTAACATTGTGTCATCTGTTATCACTATACAAAACCCTGGTAACTACATCTATACAAATTATAAATAAAGATAAAAAAGGTATTACTGGTACATGATTGATTTGAGGGGGAATAATTGAGATATACAAAGTGTACCTAATCCGTTTATCAATTTGACCAATAGCTTTGTGTATAATAACTTCATCTTCGTAAGATTTTGCATCAGTAGCTGCTTTCGTCGGGTCGTTATGCTACCTGTGCGTTTGATCGATTTCAAACCCTTGTAATTTTCTTGATAACTTTGGATTTCTAAAAATTTCTTGAAGTAAAATATTCGAAATATTTTTTCTAAATTACTTCGCACTAACAGAGGATAAGAAAAATAGATTTTTTTTACTAAATTTAAACAAATTTTGAAATAACTTCACGAGTTTTCGAAACAGTTAAAAATAAAGGAAGTATATGAACCACAGGTTTATAGAGAGAGGTCTCTCTGAACACCATCCTGAGGTCTACCATTTCAATACATGTAGGATCAAGGGTAAAACAAAAAATAAAGGAAGTAAGTTTTTGTAAAACATGGCACTTCGAATTTAAGAGCTGAAATTGTGTCACTAGAGGAAGGATGGCGAATTGAAAATAAGGGAAGCGATAGGATCGCAATGAATTAAAATACGTTTGTTCATTCATTTCTTGCGCATGTCGTATATTTCTCGATTACCTTAACTCACTTAAATTTGTTATAATTATATCTTTATTATCTCAATCATTCTCTTCGCATATGTATCGTGTTTCCTTAGTCGCGTATCATTTTGTATATGCACTCGAGATTCGATTGCGCTGACTGTTTCTCTGTTAATCATTTCGACAGTTGCTCGTAGTTTTCTGAGTCACGTGGTATCTGAATACTAACGTCAATTTTATTCGAAACTTTTTTTCTTCTCCTGATCGATTTTAGATCTATTGACTAGGTTTTTGGGTCTTCGCCTAATTATAAAAAATGCGACGAAGTATCTGCTATAAATTGTACATTTGTCCGGCATCATCTTTAATTCATATATTCTTGAAGTAAGAAGTAGCGAACTCTGGTTGACGATTCTCTTACATTTTGTTCCTTCCAAACGTCACTATGATACTCCATCTCTCTTCTCGATAAATTATTCGCTTTAAAACTAAAGCGAATATGAAAAGCTGCAAAATATTTACCAGACACAACGTAATACGTTGACGTTACAAAACAAAATTCGTTCTGAACATAATTCAATTGTAAGATCACCGCAAGTTTGAAGAATTACAATTTCAGAACCGACAACCGTTCTAGAAAAAAGCAACAGGGCACTTCCTCCTTATTGTTTCACATTTTAGTTTCTTTTATTAGTATGTCTCTATCTGCGCATTTTCACAATAATAATACACATTTATAATACATACATAACAGAAATCCTTTGTCTCGGAGTGGACAAATGGATAATCTTCTGTTAAAAAATTTGTTCCAACGTCGCCATTATATAAGCACTTTATAGTATAAATGTAATAACGACGCTATAGTTTAAATAAAAAGAAGTGTTATGTGACAATCGTTTCTTTCGTACAACAGTTTCAAATTTTAGCCATTATTTGTGTAAACGAAAACTTGATCATTAATACTGAATGAAAGTTGCTTCTGAATTGTGATATCCTGTGCATTTTTTACCTCGTGACATCTCTTCCGAAAATGTTATTTACACAGAGAAGCATATCCCATTTTTATCGCTTGAATACGTTTGAGTCTGAGTAATATATGTATGTATATACACAAAAAATTTGTTTTTTAATTGTACCATTCTAAATATCCTTGTTTATGTGTTAATTATGAAATCATGATTACTGTCCTTAATTTGACACAAATGTATTTCGGTCTACGGTAGAACTTAATTAATAATAAGACTGCCAGACTTGTAGATTGAATTTACTATAAGTTAAATATGAGAATATTATGGAGAACGTATATAGGAGTACATTCGTCGCATATATTCGAAAATAGCCATTAAATTATATCCCAGTATTTTTCAATATTTGTTCAACGATAAATACTCATCCAGTGAGAATAGACAAAGTATCTGAATAAAATTATAATTGAAAGATATAGACACGGGTCAGAAAAACGTACGTAACAGACTGTCGGGTATTTTTTTTTGTATCACTGCTGACTTTCATCTCGTCTCGTATGGATGTTTTTTATCATACAGTTGTACATTTCGCGTACTCATATTTATCTATAGATCTGTAATACAGACGTTTGATATATTTCATTACTGTATCGAAAAAGAAATATGTAGAAAATTTAATCGCAATCGAGGTACTTACTTTCAATTTCCGATCCTGCAGAGATTAGTTTGGTGTGCGGCTGTGCAGTTGTGCTTGGCTGATTACTCAGTTGTCCCGTAGTCGCTGGTGCAGCAAAACCTGGAGGTGGTTGCATTGCCCAATGTTGAGTTGGTGCGTTCTGTTGTTCCTAATGGAAAGAACCGAGAGTATAATATTTATATACTTAAACTATAAATTAGTTGATAATGTCACTATGTTTCTATTTATAGCATCAGTTACGAAACACGTTTTATGTCTAACTCATTTACGTAAATATGTTTCATACCTGTTGCGCATTGTGTGAAACGGTATGTGTGGGATGAACATGTGGGAATTGCCATGTACTAGTAGTTTGGAATGGAAGAGGCCTAGAAGAACTAACGATAGCTGGATCAATCGAAGTCCAGTCCGCAATAGGTCCAAAGTTATTCCATCCTCCCTTTTGATGTAATGCTTGATGATGAAATTGTTGTTGTTGCTGCTGGTTATTAATATCACACCAATCCTTAAGCGTATAAACTGCGTCACCTGCGCATTTACTAATACCTGTTCCAAATATTAACAAAGACGTAATATTAAAAACGATAATAAAAGCACAAAGGTAATGTTAATATTATCCAAAAATTACCTTGCGAATTCAGAAGGGGGGTTCCATTTGGAAGATAGGCATTTTGCTGCGGTGGTTGCGCTCCTGTAAACAGCATACTAGACGAATGATTCATGCATAATATTACAACGGTTCTTGTCAAAGTCACAAGAATTCAATTTGCTTTTATACTTGGATAACACTATCGCTCGCCACAAGTACAATTCGTTTCACCGAGAAATTTTACCGTAACTCACAAATAATTCATAGGACCAGGAAAATACTAACCCGAAAGAGCACCGTTCGTGGGAGCTGGTCGCGGTATACCAAGACCAAAAGAATTCATGTGATTTGGTGTGGAACCAGGGAAACCTGGTGGTGGATGACGACTACGTTGTCCCAAACTGGCCGCAGTCACGCTACTCTGAGCAGAACTTTGTGGTGTACCACTTTGTAATAAATTTTGAGGAAGACGAGACAGCAGGGAATGCGACTGTTGAAGAACCTGCAGATTCTGCAAGTGTTGGGCCTGTTGCTGTAAATGTGCTATATGAGCAACCTAAACAAAGAAAAGAACAACTCCATGACACTCATACTAATGTTAGTAGTGTCATAGTAGTTTTTATTTCTCCTAGTAGTCTTTAGTACCTACACTTAATTCCGTTTTTGCACGATTTTTTTACACAAATTTTTCGAAAACGTAACCATCGTGTAAAAACAGAATTAAGTGTAAATAGTATTAACACTATTTATACATTACATGTCTACGCACCTGTGGAAAATGCTGCTGACCAAGATTCGCAATATTTTGTTGATGTTGTACCCTATTCTGCTCTTCTCGTTCTCTTTGCTGTTGCTGCTGTTGTTGAAACAACCTCTGTTGTTGTAATTGCATTTCATTCTCCATAAGTTCAGCTAGAGCTTTTTGTGTTTCATGGAACGGATCAAATCCTAAATCATCATCAGCTTTTATGTCTGAACCAGATTCTTTATGATTTCGAACTTCCTCCAAGGAAGCATGACCATTTTGCTTTATGTATTCACAATTCTCCTGATTTTGTTGAGCCTTAAGCAATCATAATTACCAATTGTTACTAATTGTATTTACAGACTCGTTGCTCGTTGAAAAATTCCTCTTAAAAATAGTATTAACGTTTCCCTGTTCTTATCACACTATATCCTCTTGATCATGTAACTTAATAAAGTCTTAAAGTAGTCACAAAATGTTTTTTTAAATAATGCAATAGTTTAAATTACTCACCTGCAAAGCAAGCCTCTGTTGTAAAGAGTTTTGTTGAAAATCAGCCATAAATTTGGATGCAGGAGAATTAACGAGCACACTCTGAGTAAAATTGGCAGAAGGTTCAGAAATAGTAGTATACTGCAGATTGGTGTAAATTTCTTCGTCTACGAAACCGTCAGAATTGAATGTCACTCCCGGTGAACTAGAAGGGCTGGATTTTTGTACAATGTGATTTGTTCGTGGTGTTTCCGGTTGAAAACCGAAAGCCGCTTGCCAATCTTCGCTTGATTGAACTATTGGTAACGAGTCGGGAATTGAAGCTAAGCCCGTGCTTGTCCAGTTCAGGTTTGGGTTTGCTATACGTTCAAGAAAAATTAATTGCAACCTTCTCTTTTGCTTTTGATGTCAAATACAAAAAAATATAAGGAACAAATAGTTAGATAAAGTATCCAAAGATTCATACAGGGTGTCCCATGTGGGACATTCTGTAAATACATAAATGCAACACTAAAAGGACTTGTAGTATGTACATGCCTGTCAAAGAAGTAGGTGGCACTGAGGTGGTGGTAGAGATTTTCTGGAAAGTGTTTGAACTGAAGAAGCTGTTATTGTCCGCCTGAAAGATTGACCGATGACTGAGTTGCATTTGAGATCCATTATGTAAACCAGGTGGCGGCTGTTGATTGGCACCTTGTGATGAATTTGTACTAGCCGGAGAGGAACCTAAAGATGATATGCACAAATCTCTACACTACAAAACGCGATCAAATCATTTTGGTGCTTTTACCAATGCCAGAATAAACAGCTTCTAACACTATTCCTCTCTGCCACCATCAATGAATCACAAGGATGTATAAAAGCGTGTCTGGAAAATTGAACTTTAATTATTATAATGTCTATATGTCAAACAAAGGCACTTTAAACATTTGCCGCATAAAAATACAAAGAAAAGTAGAACATTTTCCAGACACATCCTGTGCATATATGGTCAAATGATGTAATCTGCATGAAGGATAAAGTCAAGCATGTGCAAAAACACAAAAAACAGTTACTATATTTTTTTTCCAAAGAATCCTCTTTATTTTGGCATATATCTATAACTATGTAAATTCTATTCTACAGTTATGAAACACAGCTAAACACGTTTTCATGTCATCCACATATTACATACTGATTAAAAGTTATTGTTTAATGTATTTGAGATATATATATATACAACGTACAGTGTTATAAGAAATAGGCACACATTTTGAATAACTCGTTAACTATTACAAATATCCTGTATCACATTAGTGAAAATTATGGAAATATTACAGTTACTATCTATAGCCTCTCATGAATTTCTCATCAAGTCAATGATCTAAGTTCTTGTGTATAAATTGTTGTAAAATACATGCAAAATCTTATTAAAGCAACTTGATAAATAAAAATCCGTAAGAGATTGTTATGCATTAGCACGAAAAATAAAAAAATAAATTCTAACAAGAAATTACAGTCAACAGAAATCACGTTTGGACTTAATTTTTCGAATCTCCAAACTCAAATACTTCGAGACTATCGACACTTCTAATTGCCATTCTATAAACTCGTTGTATGATATTCTTCGATGTACATTTTCCATGATGCCAGTGTCATAAAAAATTGTTTTTAATTACGTCTGTATTTAATCTGGCTACATATTTATTTCAGAAGCAAGAAATCAATACATATAGAAATGATTACCAATATAAGGAACTCACCCAAAATAGCAGCACCATTGTTCTCCTCACATGATTCTGTTAAATGTTCCACTTGTTGATTCACATTTGAATCTTCTGTACTTGAAATCGTACTAGCTGGTGTACTACCTTCGCGTTGTTGATCTGTTTCACTATCCGAATATCGACGTTCTCCATTTTGCACTATTCCATTTATTTTGACTTCCTGAGGTTGCTGTTGCTGCTGCTGTTGAACTAATTTAGATCCTTTATTATTTTGTTGTTGCTGCTGCTGCTGCTGTTGTTGTGGCGGTGATGGTTGTTGTTGCTGTTGCGATGGTTGCTGTGGCTGTTGCTGTTGTTCCGATTTACACTTATTACCCAATTTTTGTAATACATCACTACTTGTTTCAGATGAAAAATTTCTAATATCCTTTTGTCCATTAATTTGTGGTTGTACATTTTGCGCACCGATAGAGCTCGATTCAGATCGTGAAGTTGTCCTTGTACTATGTTTCTCTTTATTCTGACAGTTTTTATGTTTATTCCGTGCTGCCTGTGCTTTACTTTCACTATTACTTTTACCTCTCCTTAAATTCATACTTTCGCCTTTGTTGTTATTGTTTTGTTGATGTGTGGATCCACCGGACGACACATGGCTCTGTTGATTTGTCATGCCACTTCCATTCGTTATGTTGTTCGGTTGTGATGTTGCTTGTGACGGCGGTGATAATTCTTTACAATTTGTTTGTGTACCTGTAAGTGCATAAATTCAAACTGATTAACGAGATAGTCCTCGTATTTTAGGTATACAGCTTATTCTATATACAATTAGTTTCAACTTTATTTTCACGAAAGAATAAACTTACTAGTTGTTTGCCCAGTCTGTAACGATGGCCAAGCTTCTTTGGCTTGAGAATTTGAAGTCCCGTTTTCTCGAACGATACTACCTGTCACGGATGGCGATGGCGTTGGCTTCCTACATAAAATAAAAGCAATATTTCAACTGCATTGATTTTATATTATCTTTCGTATTAAATTGAATTAATTAACTTTGAACATAGAAAAATTACCGTTGAGCAGATGCATGCGATGCATTTAACGATTGCACAAGTTTCCGCTCGTACTCCTGGTGTTTCCCTTGATGCATCTCCTCCTTTGTAAACGATGCTTCCTGGTCCCCAAGATCATGTAAATACATACAATCCGGTTTCGGACAAGGCTGATTACGCATAAAATGTGAACAATACTTTGTTGTCCCTAGTGACGTTTTTATTGTTCGTCCGTCCATAATAACATTATTCACAGCCTCTATAGCACGTAGTGCATCCTCTTGACGCTGATTTCAAAAATGTTAAAATATAATATACACAAGAACTGCAGGGAATTTAAATATTATGAAAAAGCAAATAATGACTTACTTGATAAGTAACGTAAGCTGAAGCACTAGGGCCTTGAGACCCTGCATAGGAAGTGCTTTGATTTATTACAACTTTGTGAATTTTCCCAAATTTTCCAAAATATTCATGCCGTTTTAATACCTGAAAAAGTTTATAGTACAATTAATGGAAATTTTTCCAAGAACGTATGTTACTTATGATATTGAAAAACTATACTTTACTTCGCGTTTATACTTACATCAGCGTCCGCAAGTCGCAATGGTAATCCTACTACAAACACTAGATTTTTTTGTACTACTCTCACATTAGCTAGATGTTTACGGTTTTCTGTTACTCTCTGCTTACGTTGCTGATCTTTTAATCTCTTTTCTGCTTTTAATCTAACAAAAAAAAATGCAAACTATTCTATTAATTGTTTCATTATGATTTATATACGATTCGATAATAGCAACAGACTAAATATGAACCTTGCAATTTCTTCCATACTAAGAGGTTTAAAATCTGCAGGATTCTCAGAATAGGCTTTTCGACAGGCAGGGCATAAGCCATTCTCGTCAGTACGAATTCTATGCCAGCAGAAACGACATATCTGATATCCACAGGTGCATGGAAAGAAATTCAAATCATCCACCTCCAATGGTTCCATACATAAAGGACACTCGACAGCATCTTCTCCACTTTGATTCAATACTGACATTTTCGTTTCTATCGATTTGTATCACACAATATGGTAAGTTACCTAGATTTTTTTATTCGTAACTCCTGCACAGAAATGATCAGGTTTCACATATAACATTGAACTAGTATAAAACAATCAACATAAAGAAACCATATAGCAATCTATAATCAACATATATAAATACGCTAATTATCTCACTGAACAAAATAAGTGCACAGTAACAATGGAAATAACATGAAACATATGTTTTAATACAGAAATTACATTTTAAACTCATTGCCAGTATAAATTATTCGTAAATAAAGTATACTTACGTGCAAAGTTTTTGCAATGCTGTGATACTATGTAATTGACTGTACTTGAAACTTCTTACACACTAGTATCCTTGCACAATCTAGAAACAAATTATCAGACTGTTAAAACATTACAGAACGTTATGAGTCAGATGGATCGACGAAAGCAAGGCAACAGTTTTCGAGTGATTCCACGTCAATCCGCGGAAGAGTTCGCGATCTATCCGTAGAACTTAAGCATTTCCCCATTCGGCCACGAAACAATCCGTGTTACCCGTAACCTCGAATATTGTCGAATTAGCGCGTACCAGAGGAAGGAAAGTGGCGCAGATGAATCTTTCTTCCGTAGAACAGAATACACGAAACGATGGACTGTTTGGCTGACAGATTCAATGAACAGTTGGAAAGGATGGTCCGTTTGACAGGAGCTGTCAGACAGGACCGTGAACGACGAACAAAGGACGCTCCAGATTTCAACCCGATTCGAATGATCGCGTACGCCCTACGATGGACGTACGAATGACAACTTTATACACTCGAGCTTGGGATTTGACGACGAAAAACTTGCGGTAGGGCCACCGTCTGCACTCTCCCACTCGCTTTCTCTTTCTTTCTTTCTTTCTTTCTCTCTCTCTCTCTCTCTCTCTCTCTCTCGCTGTCTATCTATTTCTCGCTCGCTCCCGCGACGAGACACGAACTATACGAGAGGGCGACGATCGGACGAAACAGCTGTTGGTGGCGTCGAGAGAAGCGAAGGAAACGTCAGGGAGCGAGTGAGAGGTACTACGCCATAGCCAGAAAAACCTACGTGAAAATCCGTGAAAAGTCGGCGTGGTGGGGCATGACACGTAAATTCCCCGGAGCTTCGAATACAACTATCCGCGTACGCAAGGACGATGGTCTCCCCGACGTTTCGCGATACGATTTTGAAGGGGGGAAAAGGCTAGCGGCGAGCGAGAGAATGAGAAATGGAAGTAACGAATCGAGAGGCGGAGAACGAGGGGGGAAGGAAAGAGAGAAGGAGAAAGACCAAACGGGAGAGAGGGAATGGAGGAGGGAGTAAAGATGAGCGTGAGTACGAGAGAGAGAGAGAGAGAGAGAAACACGCACACAGAAAAGGAAAACAGAACAACGATGCCATCATTAGTTTCGTCCCTTTTTAGTCAATGGTCGTTGTCTTGATGTTGCGCGTGGAAAGAGGCTCTCACCGATCCCACGTCTCTTCTACGTACTTGTTTCAAATATACGGATTAATGCTAGCTCGAGCGCAAAGAACTACGACCCCTCAACAAATCCACAAGTTCTCTTAAGTATACAGTTTCTATTTTAAAAAAGCTACGATAGACTGAGTAACATGGTTCAGTTCGCCGCGAACGTCACAAAGGATTGAATGATTTGTCGCCAGAGGGGTTGCTAAATACCCTGGACTGGTTACAGGGTATACCTGGTTCGTTTAACCTTAACTTCGTACGACAAAGTAAACTTTCCGACGTTCGCCGTCGCTTTATCGACCGCGTAATACCGTTCTCGTTGATTCGAACGCGAGATGCGCGTATTTCGTCGTTCCGGAATTCTCGACCCTTGTTTACTTACGTTACAACTTTTCCACTAACAAATCTCTTTTCTGTACTGGGAAATTTTTGTACAGTCTTCAAGATCTGGTCGCATGCGCACCGCGACTGCGCAGAAGCGGACATTACATACACTGGTATTTAAAGAGAGGCGCATAGGTAGGCGAAGAATTCTGAAAAGCGCATGTCAAGCGAATTTTTCGATTCTCTTACGACATATGTTCAAATTTTTCCAGCGGACCACTTCCTATTGAATTTGATTAATTTCTATTCGTATACTGCATTAGGGAAACATTAAATGACCTGACTGTAACCACGAAAATTGCACGATAGATTACTCTGCTTACGGATTCTTCCATTTTATACTTGCCGCGTACCCGGAAGTAACCGGTAACCGATTTGGCAGCACTGCCAATAGGTTTAAGCAAATATTCCTAACGTCCATTAAAATAGGGTATGTTCTCATTGAACGAATCATGTGCTTCCGAATTATTTCCAGTGAATTTACAATGAAACGTATAAAATTTGTAGGAATAAACAATCTCCATCTACCTCAGGATATAAAATTTTGTTTTGTAGATGATTTAACACATAGTATTTATTTTGTAAAATTTTCAAATCTGATCTTACATTTCACCTTGCATTTGTTGAACAAAATAACACTGTACGTAAGAAAAATTTAACATGTAGGCTTCTATGAATAACACAATATACAATGACGAAGAGTATGTAAATTTTAAACAGTGTATAATTTACAGTATTTGTTCTTTGTAATTGTTGTCCCTTATTCTGGGCGAGTTACTTTATTGCACTCTTTCTAACTTTACCTTCACAACTTACACCAAATAAAGGATGACGAGTTTTCAAGTTTTCAGGGAATGGTACACTAGAGTTTTCTATCAGCATTGGTTTTATTTTTGAAATACCTGAAAGTTTCCGCCTAATGCTGATTGTACCTGCTGGCTTCACATTAACTGTTCAAGGGAATTATGTTATTAATAAGAAGAAACTATTTTATTTTTAGTCAAATAGAAAAGATTTACCTGTCTTATATTGTGACTTGGCTTCCTCGGTCTTAAACACACAAGTGATATTACATTTACCATTATTATTCACTGCATAATATCGTTCCTCGTTAATTTTAAATTTTGACTTTTCTCCAAACACTAATGACTGTCCTTTAAGTTCACCTGGATTTATCTATAATTTAAACACCAGTCACATTTATTATATAAATTTTCTTATGTTTCAGATATTCATCAACATTCAACTTACAGTTCTAGGAATATCCATTATCCATATGTCTTCACTGTCAGATATATCATCCAAATTAAATGTGGAATTTGTAGATTCTACAATTAAATTTTCTTCTTTGATTAAATCATCAATCTAAAATAAAATTTATACAATACATATATGGAAGCTAGTAATAAGAACTTGTAAAATAAATTATATTTACACTATGAGGTCTAAAGGCATTTGATATATTCATTGACAATCTATCATTGTTTGCATTGTTTAATGTTTCCAACTGAATTTTTTCATTTTGTGCTTCTGTTTCACTTCTTCTTCCATTGTTTCTTATATCAGATTTTTTTAAAATACTTTTCCTAGATACAGGAGAAGCACTGGAGGGACTGGCTTTTTGAATCTTTGTATTAATTTTTATCGACTTATTACTTTTTGGTTGATATGTTTCATTATCTGTTGTTTTAGTGTCCATTAGGACCATTGATCTGTTCAGTTGAGTATTCAGTTTTGTTACAGAATCCTCCACATCCAAGTCAGTCATGATGTTTGACAAGACCATAAAGTTGTGATTCGTACAGTTTAATTATTTTTCTAAATAATTAGTTCCTCATGCCAAATTTAACGAGATATTACCAACAGCTTATGAAATTAGATTTTTTTCATTATTCATACTATTTATAATAATTATTAAATATACATATCTGTAAAACACATAAATAACAACACGTACGTAAAATGAAAACCACCACATTCACTACAATAAGTTACACATCACGTGCTTTGCATTCCTTTATACAGGTTTCTACCATAAACATAACATATAGACTGCACTTCAGCCTGAAACGGACAAACCAACTTTAGAAAGAGGTAGAGAACATAGCTTTCAAAGGAGTTCCATCTCTTTTTCTGGAGAATGAGGAGTACAGTAAGGGAGCAACCGTAGGGTGGACACATGGCAATCAGACCTGCAAGTTTTGTGGCGCCCTGCTGGGGGCCTAGAGACCCCCACAATTTGCATGTTTTTCCGCCATCTTGGATTCAGAAAAGTGCCGGAAAAATTGGAAATTTATTGCATATTTCGTTTACCGCATATTTGAACAGGTCTCACTGCGTTATATGGACAGCATTCGTCTTGACAAAGCATTCGACGCGTAGCTTAAAGAACGTCGATTAATTCCCTGGCATTGGCAATAACAATAAAAGATCAGAACACTGTTAAAATCGCATTTATTTGCAACGGTTGACACTGTATCTCGTCATGCGTACCCCGGTTAGTTCACTTTGAATAACTCTTCCAACGTTATATGGACAGGTTACGTCTTAATCAAGCATTCAGTTTCAAGCTTAAAGAACGTAGATTAATCCCCTGTTATTGAAAATAACAATAAACGACCAGAACACTGTTAAAATCGCATTTAATCGTGGAGTACCATTTTTTTTTTACCGGTGGCGCCTCCCGTGGCAATATGCTCAAACTGCTAGCCAAATTCTATCGACAGGTGAGTAAAAATTTCTAGTGATGGAAAAACGCAAATATCTAAGTAATTAAGCACTTAAAATGAACGTCATTAATCTCAAATTGTCCCTCAGGACTTAATGCATGGACCCAATAGTGCAGAACCCCTGAATTAGTAAAATTAGTTATGCCTGTATTACCGTAGCCCCTTATGGGGCGGCAACCCTACTTGCAACAGATTTCGAACGCATTTACACTGCTAAACGGGCATCATTTTTCCTCGTCAGGCATTAAATTCGAAATTTGAACAATGTAGATTAGTTCTTTCTAGCGACTGGAAACCAGTAATCGCAATAACATTGTTAAAATCGCATTTGTTTGCAACGGTTGACACTGTATCTCGCCATGCGTACCCCGTTTAGTTCAATTTGAATAGCTCTTCCAACGTTCTATGGACAAGTTACGCCTTGATCAAGCATTCAGTTTGAAGCTGAAAGAACGTAGATTAATCTCCTGTCATTGAAAATAACAATAAACGACCAGAACACTGTTAAAATCGCATTAAATTGTGGAGTACCACTACTTTTTTGACCGTACCACTACTTTTTTGACTGTACTTTTGACTAGCCATATAATTGGCTACCAGTTTCAGCGATTCGCCACGGATGGCGCCACCAGTCAAAAAAGTAGTGGTATTCCACGATTAAATGCGGTTTTAACAGTGTTCTGGTTGTTTATTGATATTATCAATAACAGTGGATTAATCTACGTACTTTCAGCTACAAATTGAGTGCTTCAGCTAAACGAAAGCTGCCCGTATAACGGTGTACGAGCTGTCCAAAGTGAACTAACCGGGGTACGCATGACGAGATAGAGTTTCAATCGTTGCAAATAAATGTGATTTTAACAATGTTCTTGTAATTACTGGTTCCCAGCCGTTAAAGAGTACTATTCTACGTTCTTTAAACTTCGAATTTAATGCGTGACGAAGAAAAATGATGCCCGTTCTCACAAGTACTTGTTTCTAACTTTGTTTATTACAATACAAATTCCAAAATCTCGCCCCACTCGTCTAGGGCAGTTCTGTCCTGAACTTACGGGCGGGGTTGTTGTTTAATAATTTATGATGAAATACAAATTATTAATTTATAAAGCTTCATTACAAGATCCACTAAATAATTTTCTATAACATTCAAAGTACTAGACACTTTTAGAACACTGAATATCATCGATTTCTAAAATAATCCTAGTTCGATGTAATATAGAACGTGGTTTTATGAGATAAATTCGAAGTTCGCAGCTATTAGCTTGATATTGTCTTCGGTTTACAGTACTTTACCGATGATAATATCGATTGCCCAGGCCTCACCACGAGGAGGTTGCTGCGAGTGCAGGCCCAAGGCAGATAGATGGAATCACAAGTTCTACATCTACCCACCTTTCA